TCTCACCCTGTATACTAACATATCCGAAAAATATGGAACCAGATTCTCACCCCGTATACTAATATAACCGAAAAATATGGAACCAGATTCTCACCCTGTATACTAACATATCCGAAAAATATGGAACCAGATTCTCACCTCGTATACTAATATATCCGAAAAATATGGAACCAGGTTCTCACCTCGTATACTAATATATCCGGAAAATATGGAACCAAATATTGATTTATTGCACAAGTTTCGACGAAGGTGACTATGGTAACCAGTTTTGCAAAACAAAAATATGCTAGATAATATTTTCAGAATTTTCCTGAAAAACTAATTTATAAAACAGCATTAATTTTGAGACGATTAGCTATTATTCTCTTTCCATTTATTTTCCTAATAATTACTGTTGATACAGATAAACCATTTCTTATGCACAAATTGCATATCCTGGATGTTTTTTAGTACACAACAGGTAACATGTATACGAAAGGCAATAACCGAAACCAATATTCGAAAAAGAATATTTTTTAACGAAATTTGCCAATCCATTATTCGTTTTTTAAATTTAATATGCTATATTTTCACGTACTATATACAACCTTACGTTTCTTATTCTCAAATGCACAAGTAAAATTCATCGTAATGAAGTCCGAGATACAGGAATCAGATGAAAAATGTTTTAGGTACAACAATACTTGTGTGACGTAATAAATATTAGAACATTCATTGTGTTTCATATCTATGAATGAATAATAATAATAAAAAGACTATAACGAATACAAATAAGGAATCTGATCGGACAGCGGTAAATTTACCTACGTATGATGTTAACTAAAATCCGGGGGTCGTTTCTCCGCGGTAGACACAGCAAATAGCCCAATGTGGCTTAGCGCTACAACACACATACAATATAAGTAAGTACAAATGGAGGATCGATTGGTGGTAAGTACTTGCGATAGCATTAAAAATTAATCAAAATAGAAATCTAAATTACACACACACACGAGTTGATTATTAGTACGATCTGATGGGCCTGGTCGTAGGGCACTTAACCCTCAATCTGCAGGTCGCGGGTTCGAATCTCATCATTGCACATGCTTAACTCTTCCTTTCAGCCATGTGGGCATTATGATGTTATGTTTAATCTCACTACTGTGTTAGAGTAAACCAAAAGTTGGCGGCTGGTAGTGTTGACAAGTTGCCTTCCCTCTAGTCAGTCAATTTTAAATTAAGGCCTGCTAGCGCAGACAGCTCTTGAGTAGCTTTGCACTAAATTCAATAACAAGAACAAAACAATGACAAAAAAGAACTATGATTTATATTCGATGACGAGGAACCCACTTTGAGACTAATAATGGCTGGAGACGGCTTGAATGGGTAATGAAAGAAAAATTTGTATTAAAGTTTTCTTCATTACCCATTCAAGCCGTCTCCAGCCATTATGATTTATATATTGTATGGGGTGCGTAATGGCAGGATAATTTTCGGCGATATGTGTATAATCTTAAATGCTGGTAATTTTTACGATGAAGTTAATATTTTTATCTACTAGCACTTGTACACAGCCTGTAAACTTTATTACCGATATTGTAATTGTTTTCAACTTACGGTAAACAGCAATTATACAAAAAACACGTGTAATATTTTTCTTGTCTTTATCGTCGCATATTGGAATACAATTCGAGTACGGATAATGAATATTCGAATAGCAAAATCAAATACGTATTCGTTTTAGCTCTAACATGCGCAGTCTTCGTTTGGCAACACCTATCTGACTACAGCGTCGTATTCATCTTGCCAAATATAACCAGACTGTTCTGAGGCCATTTAAGCCTGCTCGGACATGCTTTACATTTTAAGGTATTACTGAAGATATGACGTTCAAGTAACATATACAGTTGTTTGACAAGGCTGGGCATATCATGATAGTTGATGTTAAAACAAATAATATTATTATTATTCATCTTAGGTAGTATTAAACCTCCCGAATACAGGTGGTTAGGGCGCTCGACTCGTAATCTGAGGGTTCGAATCCAAGTCCCACCAAACATGTTCGCCCGTTCAGCCGTGGGGGCATTATAATGTGAAAGTCAATCCCACTACTCGTTGGTAAAGGAGTAGCCCAAGAGTATGTTGTGGGTGATGATGGCTAGCTGCCTTCCATCTAGTCTTTCACTGCTAAATTAGGGACGGCTAGCGCAGATAGCCCTCGTGTAGCTTTGCGCGAAATTCAAAATTAAACCAAACCTTCCAAACATGAGACCTTGAATGTTGCAGAAGCCATGGACAAAATCTATTATCTATGAACATTGAGAGCACAGTTTAAGAATGCTCTCCAGCAGGAGCGATTCTAATAGTTCCACAGAGGATTTTTCATTAGCGTTGAAGGCATATACCATAGCCAGTGCTTTAGTGATGGCAAGGGACTGGCAAGTTCTAAATCTATTCGGAAATGATTCAACCAAAACATAGCACGAATACCCAGAGAAAACAATTGTAGGGTATGTGGCTATCAACTGAGCCCTAGCGGACACTGTTGACACTACTAACACCGTAGTGCAGATAATACAACACATTACAAAGTCTCTTCAACAGTCTCTCTGTTTTTATAGTCGATGAAGCTGTATTTCAGGAACTGGTGGAGTTGAAGTGCTAATCTCGGGCCTAGGGGACTGCATATGACCATGAACTTCCACCTCATTTTGAGACAAAATATGCAAGATTCCGATTTAACCTATGTTTGGTTTGAAAGTGGTATTCTGCATGTGATACCTGGTTCGCAAGCATTGTGACAACTACTTTTTCCACAGTTGTACAGCTGCGTAGAAGAACACGACAGATATTGGGTGGGCGTTTATGAGTGGGCGGTTGGTACAAAAGTTGATGTTCGTCTCTCCTTTTCTTGAGGTGTGTTCTGAAAGTAAGTGAAGCGGCTGCGCCAAAGTATGTCTCGGTCAGAGAAGTCGCTGCAAGAAGACAAAAGGTACCTCGCACATACACAGATAGCCTAACTGAATACAGAAACATGGTTAACGAAGTATCTGTTTAGGGTCTGGCATGATCTGGTGATTAGGGCGCTCGACTTGCAATATACGGGTTCGAATCCTCGTCATCGAACATACTCGCCTTTTCAGCCGTAGGGACGTTACAATTTCACGGTTAATCCCACTATTTATTGCTGAAATAATAGCCCAAGAGTTGGCGGTGGGTAATGTTGACTAGTTGCTTTCCCTTTAGTTTATCACTGCTAAATTAGGGATGGCTAACGCAGGTAACCCTGGAGTAGCTTTCCCTAAAATTAAAAACAAAACAAAAAACAGATATCTACTAAGACAGTCATAAAGATGTAACAGTGGAATAATGATTGCTTTCATGCTTGATGAGGGCTGTTCATAGGCTTCGCTTTAGCATGCCTGTTAGTTCTTCAAATAAAGTGGCTATCTGGTTTTGTAATGTTTCTGATAGTCACTTGGCGCACTATTTAGTTTTAATCAAAGAATGCGATAAAAGTTCTCGCAAACATCGGGTCATATTATTTGTCTTGTTTATATACGTCACCATAAGTTCACTTAATATTTCACCTACTTAATTTCTTCAAAAATCGTACACGTTATTTTTATGATGCTCTATCAATAATCGTTGGTTTCTTGTAAATAAAAGTGAGAAAATGTACGAAAATAACGTCATAGAACCACCATTTTGTTTTTTGAAATTTGTGAGTCAAAACAAAATACAAGTTTTCTTACTTATTCTTTCTGTTTTTGAAGGAATGAAAAAGTGCGTATCGCTTTTCCATGTATTTATTAATTTGTAATGACAGTTTGTAATTGAATTGTTTTTTTTTAAATGTTTTTACACTTATGACGAAAGCTGTATGGGGTCCGCGAGTAATGTCCGAAATTTTATACTCGTATTTTAAAAATATGAGTTAATGAATAAGTTATAAAAGTTAAATTTATGTGAATTAAGAAAAATTAACTTTGGAATACAGCTTTTCATGTATACGGAACCTTTTGTTTTATTTCAAAACAAAACAAAAAAAAAAAGAAAAATATCCAAAGGATTGGAAGTTCGCGAAAAATTTTTAAATTAAAAGGGGTCCTTAGGTTACTGAAGTTTGTGGCTGTGTAGTGTTTAGGTTACTGAAATTTGAGAACTGTTGCTGTGTAGTGTTTAGGTTATTGAAGTTTGTGGCTGTGTAGTGTTTAGGTTACTGAAGTTTGTGGCTGTGTAGTGTTTAGGTTACTGTAGTTTGTGGCTGTGTAGTGTTTAGGTTACTGAAGTTTGTTGCTGTGTAGTGTTTAGGTTACTGAAGTTTGAGAAATGTTGCCGAGGCATATCGTTCCGAACAATTACTAGACGTAAATAATTCACAAAGGACAAAAATAAAATAAATCACCACAGCTTTATTATTATTAAACCACGGGTGATAAATGACGTTATAAATGTCTAAATTATGTTTAGAGACTTTTATTTTTAAATAGGAAACATGCATATAAATTACATGTAAATTGTACAGCTTAAACATGTCGTTTAATTAGTAACAAATATATTTCCCATAAGTGGAATGAAAGTTAGAGACGCCGCAGACACGTTTGATGCATTGTGATTGAACTTTTTTCCTCACTTCTCTCGGTGTATAAAGAAATATGCACAAGACATTGTATTTTTGAATGGAAAGGAATTTTTGTGACTATATCTTTGTTCATTAATCTCTGATTCGAAATATTTGTAAAATGTTTGACACACTCTTGACTAAACCGCAGTTTGTATTATTCAAAATTAACACTGAAAAACGATTTCTTGACGAGCTTGTATAATTAAAACAACAACAATAAAGTTTGGTTATCGCCTGAGGTGAGATACGTTTTAAATTCGACCGTTCAACCAATGAACGCCAACTTCAAGTTGTCGATCAGCCAGTAAAACGTTCATCTTTGTCTCTACGTCCTAAAACGTAAACGAAGGAACGAAATTAGTTGTGAGCGGTTGGACTGTTATAAGTTAACGATGAAAAACGCTGCCTGTTCTATTCCAGTAAGTTAGTATACGTAAACTACAAGGTCTGATTAAAGTGTTCGCTTTAGTGGCAAGTAGTAGTAGTATTTTTTGTTTTCCGACACTTGCTTGTAAGTTGTATGCGTGACGTAAAGCAGGTGGCCATACTATGAACGCGTTCAGCTAAGGCACGCGCAGGTCGTAGCCACAACCCATCTGTTAATATAGCTTGCGCTTGATCTTGTGTGGCATATCGTGAGCACTGTTATACTGTTCTATTATTGTTATTGTATAGACGGTACTGTTGCGTCTCTGTGACAAAAACTAAAACGCTTCTGTGACATTGGAAATTGTATAATTTCAGCAATGCTTTCGCAGTTTAAGCAGATTTTTTATTGTTGAGAAATCAAACTACAGGCCAAGGGCGTGGACGCTGTTGTCAGAGGTATAGCATTATTTAGGTCTTTTTTTTAAGTTCTAAAGTTGCGTTACCATGGTGATCTGTGGTAGTCGACATAATGAAGATGATGGACGGATATTGTTGAAAAGTACGGAACAACTGAATAAGGAAAAACAAGGAAGTAAGTAGGATTCCAACTGTTAGATAAACAGTATAAGCTGATTTTCTTTTAAAATGTAATTAAATGTTTCACCAAACACAGTAGAGTTGGCAGTTCCGAGTTCTAGTTATATTACAAAAAACAACAACAACTAAACGACTAAATCGGCAATATTTTAAAGACCCTTTGAGCTTTTTCTGACTTTGAATTTTGATTTCTGAAACATTTTTCAATAAATTTAATAAACTCATTTTATATCAAACTTTTATAACTGAAACTTCTTTCATCTTCAGAAAAACATAATATTGAATTACATAAAGTACATTGGTTCTATCAATGTACAACTACAATACAACACCTAATTAGGCCCACGCTGTACTCCTACTAGGTTATCTTTTGATACATTTACCTTACAGCTAATAAATGTATGGCATAATTAGGTCTATCTTTCAAAGATGGACCTGCATATTCTACCTTTTTAAAATAAATCATCTTTGAGGAATACCCCTTAATTTTTTGCCAATTTTCAGCAGAAATGTTACTAAGTCATAGGATGTGTTCTTGTAAAACACCTAGCAAACAGTTACCTTCCCCCATTTTTGAATTAAATGAGTTTGATGAAATGAATGGTTATGCATTCTTTAACAAGCTTCAAGTGAACTAGTCAGTGTGATGCACCATAAAGTAATTACATTGTCAGATTTCAACACGAACTGCAAGAAATATGAAGAAATATTTGTCTAATAAATGTATCAAGTGAAATTTAGGTAGTGTTTTAGAACTAAAGTACTGGGAAATATGCTGATAATATTTCTTAACAACAATTCTAGAGCTGTTAATGTTTTCATATATACAGATTTTACAGATTAAAAAAAAATAGTTTTGTAAACTTACAAATGTGTACTCTGTCAAGACATCTAATAATAATAAAACTATTAATGATAATTTATTATCCTTTCCAAAAATGACATATGTATAACAAAGTACATACATTGTTGGAAAATAATCTAGTTCAGTGGTTCTCAAATGTTTTGTTTGCAGACCACCCAAATTATTTGAAATGTATCTTGGCAGGCCACAGTAGAATCTATACACCATGTTACCACTTACTTTCTCTAATTATGCAGCCCTTCCAATGAATGCCAGTATTCCGTAGATCGTGGATTAGGAACCACTGGTCTAGCTATTAAAATATTTCTGAAGCTCTTTGCAAATGTAATGTGTATATGTATAATATACAGCAT